AATCTTGAGCACCTATACTAGGGCTTGGGCACTCACAGACAATGAAAGAAGTGGGTAGGAAAGAGAAGCAATCTGAGAAAAAATAAACATGGAACATGAAAGAAAACGAGGCAGAGAGGGATCTGGAAGGTTCGGGAGTTGGTACACAGAATTCAAAGAACAGAAAGCAGGAAAGCAGAATCAGACATCTCAGGAAGGCATTTCTAGAATTGAATGGAAACAAATTCTCACTGAGAGACTTGAGATCCAGAAGGAAGGAGGAGAGAAGATCTCTACTGAAAGCCATCGAAGGAAGGAGGAGAGAAGATCTCTACTGAAAGCCATCGCTCTGGCACGTAGGATTCTGTTATATTAAGGAATGATGGTCATAATAACCCCATCAATTATAATGAACAACAAATGAGTTGTTCTAAGTTCTGAGGGAAACTTGCTTTGAATGCAGAATTCTATTTGAATTCAAATTACCAATGAAAGGCTAGAAATTCACTGGTACAATGTACACCTCAATGAACAATGAATTCCCAATGCTTTCCTACATATTGAGACTGAAAGTTTACCTCTCTTGTATCCTTTCTGATGATGCTCTAAAAAAAATGAGGCTGAAACAGAGAGAGCGAGGTGAAATGAAGAAATAGGAATTAACCTGCGTGCAATAAAAATGAACCTCAGTGCAGCAGTTGAGAGCCAGAAAGGAATCTGCACCAGTGAGACCAGGCAATCAAGGCAGACTAAGTTGAATGTCTTCAGAAGAATGGAAACAGATTCCAAGCAATAGAAAGAAAGTAGTATCAGGGGGGAAAGAGCACATAATTATTCTCTTAACTAGAAAGAAGCACTCAAGCTCCAAGGGAAATATGGGAGGATGGGAGGAGGAAGGAGAAGGGAAACATGGGCTAGGAAACAGTCCAACGATGACATGAGCTAAAATGCACTGAAATTCAGGCTGCATCTGGAAGAATCTACTTGACAGGACGCCAGCAAGTCCCCTAGAGTGCAGGATACAATCACCACACGTGGTTGGCTCAGCCCATAGCCAGTCATGTCAGTCCATCATCAAATCAAGCAGGTCTCCAGCATTTAGAATTAATCTATTCTACTGCAAGACAGCTTGGATGATGGCCTCAGTAGAGAATGTACGTCTTCTCTCTCCTTTGTGTGGAAGGAAAAGGAGTTCACAAGAGAGAGCAGAGCTGACAAAAGCCAGGAGATGGAGAGAGTCAAGACAAAGGACGAGGAGTGGTAATACCCTTGTTACCTTCCTGAGTGCTGAGTGTCAAATGCTGGGCAAATAAAACACAACAACTTCGTGATGCCTCTCGAAGGACAGAGATGACAGAAAGTTAGCCAAGAAAGACAAAGACCCAGCAAACAAACGTGGGGTGAAGCCACAGAGAAGTGACCCCAAGGAGAAGTTGGGGACAAGCTCAAAGTCCTGGTCTTGTATGACATATATAACAAGCTGGGAGGATGTTTTGATTATAATGGAAATCTTATTACCCTGTGTTTGCAGGCCAGGGCAGCCCTCAGGAGCTCCTAAGGAAAAAGGCCTCATTAAGAGGGAGTCAACCCTTAAGAGCTCAGTCTTTAAGAGCAGAAAATAACAAGGAGGTGATATTCCTGCTGCTGGTAAAGAAGCACCGATGGATCCTACCAACCTACATTCTGAAAAATAAAAATTGATTAAATTTTTAAAATAAGATTTTAAAAAGCAATAAAAGGAGTAACAGTCACCAAGAGAAAATAAAGCAGTGATTTTATGGCCAAGAAATGGGGACCAGGGTGAGGGGAACAAGTGAGTTAGATTTTCATTGACCACAGCAAGTCATTACTGGGAATGTCCGAGACCAGAAGTCAAGATACAATGACTTAGGAAGTGGATTTCAAGAGCTTCCACAAGCAAGATCCAGGCATGTGGGTTCCAGGACTGAATCGCCAGGCCGCATGGTGGCAGAGGACCTGGGCTGCCCCTTCCCGGGTCCCCACCCGCCCAGCAGACTGGCTGTCATGCCCACAATTTGCTGCTGGGTTCCATCTTAGTGCACCAACAGTGCGGGCCCAGACTCCCAGTTGAATCCCAAAATGTATTAGCGCTATACAGAGACGTCTCTGGAACCCAATCATTTACAATCTAGAAATTTGCATTTACAATCGTAGCCATGTGAGCTCTCATGATACTCAAAATGAGCAATGGAAAACAAATTATCTAGCATCTGCTTCTGGCAAGTAGGCTTGAATGGTGGTGGGAAATTTCGAGCAAAACATAATGGCCCAAATTAGAGAGAGAGTATTAGGGAAATTGACATAGAGGAAGGGTGAGGACTGCGATGTGGGTGGTGGAAAATGTGCACTGGTGGAGGGATGGGTGTTCCATCATTGTATGGCTGAATTTCAAACATGAAAGCTTTGTAACCTATCTCATGGCAATACACAAAAAAAAAGTAACGTAGAGTTCATGCCCAATCAGCTTAATCAATGGCCAAACAGCAGTACTCCTACAATTAAATTAAATTTTTTAAAAAATTAAAAATTAAAAAAAGTGAATTTGGCAATGCAGCAGTTCCCAGGGAATGATCTGAGAACAGAAATGGTTAAACCTAACTTTGAGGAACAGGACAAGAGTTGACCAAAGACCGTTCATTACAAGCACTGCTGGACCATTAGAACTTTAAAGCACATATAGTTACATTTGTGATTTTAAATTTTATTTAATTTTTTTAATTCGTTAGTCCAGTTGAGCACTATAATTGAACTATATATGGTAGTACTTCTCCACTGTCAAGACTTAGTATCAGCTTCTGTGGTATTTATTATAAGATAGCTTCTAGACAGAGGGAAATCTTGTACTTCAGTTACCTAGATTAATTTGGATCTCTATACAATCCTCCTAATCTAAAACATCCCCCCCCACACAAATTTTATGTCATTTTAATCAGAATGAAGTCACTCAATTGAATTTCTTTTCTTGGTGGTCCATAAGTTACAGTGATGCCTTATAAGCAATCATGTCAGATTTGATGAAATAGTCTATGCATCTTTTTCTGTTACTTTGCCCTCCCTCCTCCTGCCTCAGCCCACTGTTGGTCCCAGGGGCCTTTTCTAGAGTCGCCCAGAGCCTTTGGACCCTGGCCTGGAGAGCTCGCCACACCCGCCCAGGCAGCTCCCTCCGGCCAGTCTCACATAAATGATGAGTTCTGGAGAAGCTTGTTGGACGCCCAACTGAAATCAGTGACTTCTCTGAGTCTTGCCAAAATACTTTCTGTTACTCAGCTTTATTTTCATCCAAGAATGTACTCACCCTTATTTCCATTTGTCTTTGTCCACACGAGAGAAAGCAAAGTTCCACGAGAACAGAGACCTTTCCTATTTTGTTCAACATCACAATCCCAGTCACCGAGAGCTGAGCCTGACCATGTGGGTCTGCAGTGATTTCTAGAATGAGTATTTTTACAAAATGAAAGCTAGGTCACAGACATCGCATCTGATCATTCAGCAAGGAGCCACATTTCAAAGTTCTAAGGGCTCATGTACATTAATCATTTTGTTAGGAAGATCCATTTTTTGCTTGCTACCAAGATCACTTTCCATAGCATGAAATAACTCATTCTCTATAAATATGCCGAATCTACCTACTGACAGCCAGAGTCATAGCAAGTGGCAAGCTGAGATAAAAATTAAGAGTTTGTTTTTGAAAGTTCAGGGTGTTCGAGAAAGAACACAGAGGGCTGATTCCTTAACATGCAGGAGGCCTGGGTTTGACCCCTAGAACCACGCTGTCGACTGAGCTAGGAATCCCCCCCCCCAAAAAAGAAAATCCCCAAATTCAAGAGTGAGATTACCTGGTTACCTTCAACTTTTTAAATTTTAAAAGCAGTCATATTTCACAAAGAACAGATTTGAATTAAAGATGCTTTTTTATACTTAACATTATTTCCCACAGTGCAATTCAAAGGATCGAAATTAAGTTAAGTAGATACTGCATACTCTCGTTAGATAACAAGAACAAGAATGAAAAACTTATTCTCTACTTCTTTAATACCTGCACTTCACACAGATGGCAGAAGGATGAAATAAAAAGTATGAAATCCTGGAAAACACGTGTTTCTCTGCTTTTTTTTTTATTCAAAAAAGCCCATGATTCCTTGGGAGGTAATACAAGATTGATTTCCAGTCAAACCATAATTTGAACAGCTTCAGCAATAACCAGGAATTCGAAAAGTTCCCACTCTCCCCACCCCAATACACTTTTGGCACCAATATATGAAATGTCACTTCTGAAAAATGGGGGGAAATATGCTGAATACTGGGTTTTGATACTATTGCTCCTATCATGAATAAAATGCTCTGATTGCTGACTGTCGAGTACTGATACAGGAATGGTATACAATAGCTCATCCATAAAAAATACTTTTTTATTTGGCTGTCTCAGGAAAAAAAAAATGTTAGAAATAGCAGCCGATTCTCAAGAGGTAAAAGAGCAATAGTTTACCCGATCTTTCCCCGCTTCTAATTTTACAGCTAGAATGTGACTGAGTGATTCTGTAAGAGGTAGCAGAGTGTCTGGCACAGGCTTGGGCTTTGGCGTCTTTGAAGTCATTGTTAACTCATGACATTCATCAGCAGAACTCACGTTGCCCTGGAAGGAAGAGGAGAGCCGACGGGAGCGGCTCGGGGTAGCCTGCGGTGCCACAGGAGAGGAGCGAGTCAGGAGAATCCCGGATTTGCAAGGGGCCGGTTAGAAAGCAGATTGCTCAAGTCTTCTCTCCGGCCGCTAGAAAGGGCTCTGACACAAAACCCAGGATGCCAAAGGAAAAGAACAGTCAAGGCAGAAACGCAAATCGCCAATATTTAAATATGGTGAAAACCACTTCCAATTTTCATACATGAGAATTTAGGAGCTTCTTTGAAACTTGCAGGACCCACTGCGAATTCGGCTGTGCTTCAGAGCCGTGGGGGGTATTGACAAGCAACTCACCCCACCCACCCACCCCTTTTTTTAAAAAAAAAAATCTTTTTAGAATTAGAACTTAATCATTTTTTTTCTGAGTATGTATGATAAGGGTTAGGAGAATCTTATTTCCTCCCTATCAAAAAAAATACCCCAGCAAAATAAGACATTTTAATTTCAGAACAAGAGAAGGCAGTGCAGTAAGACGGAGGTGGAATGAGCCGTGGCCACACGCTCTCTTGGACTCACACTTGATTATTTCCTCCCTACAGCACTACATACTTGGTCAGCTTTGGGAGAGAAGAAAGGAGGGAGGGTGGGCAAGAGGGAACCCCGAGCCTCCGGGCAGAGTGGCCAAGGGCTGGTTTCTGCGGCCTGCCACGGACCCCCGGCTCTCTTCCGCAGAGGAGAAGCGGAGTGAGCAAGACGGGGAGGGTGGGGGGCACAGTCTGGGCTGGGACCCTCCCCGTATCCTTAGCGGCGCAGACGTCACCCTCCACCAGAGGCCATCACAGTAAGCAACATCGCTCTTTCAAACTTTTCTTGTTCTTGCTGCTTTTTTTGCCGTTCTTGTCTTTGTTTTCCAACACCTTCTTGGCCCTGATTTCTCTCATGAGGTCAAAGAATACCTGCGGTGGGATGGAAAGTATAAAAAAAAAAAGGAAGAAAAGAAAACTTTGTTTAATGATTTTAATGAAGCAACTACACAAACATGCACTTCTGTCTTGAAGATTCCGAAACTTTCTCTTATAAACCAGGGACTATCACAAAAAAACAAAAATATTAAGAACAGGGGTCTGGAGCGATAGCACAGCAGGTAGGCCATTTGCCTTGCACATGGCCAACCCGGGTTTAATTCCCAGCATCCCATATGATCCCCCGTGCACCTCCAGGAGTAATTCCTGAGTGCATGGGCCAGGAGTAACCCCTGTGCATCACTGGGTGCAGCCCAAAAAGAAAAAAAATATCAAAAACATTGGCCAATTTAGCAAAGTAAACCTATGCCTCTGCTACAGCCTGTCCAGCTGAGGCCAGCGACATCAGTAGTTCCCCCATTCGACAGCTGAGTTTGAATGTGCGACATTGTCTGAGACGTGGGAAACATCACGGAAGCAGCAGGTGTTGGTTAGGAAATGTTCAACTCACTGAGTGGCAACAGTCACCCAGCCTCCAGGGAGGGCAAGACAGGGCCAAGGCCCTGGTGCTGGGTGCTTTCCTACTGGCTGCCACATCCCACCTGGTGGTTAGACCATCCCATAAGGCAGGAAGGCTGCTCTACCTGATAGATTTACAGCATCCTTCTGCACCAAGCTGGCTGAGAGCACAAGCAAAAACCCCTGAGCTGTGACACTGGCCGAGGGAGGGAGGAAGACCCATTCAGGGTGTCCAATCCCCCAGGCCCTCCCCATCAACAGCCGCATCCCAACGGTCAGATTAGCTTGCAATCCCTTGCCATGGCAGCTGCAAGGAACTTTATGGGGAAAAAAAAAGGCAAGCTTTGTCCCTAGAATACCAGTGTCCTCCTTACATACTGATGATTATTTATCAGAGAAGTTCGCATTTTTCCTGCTGCTTCCTCCAGCAATCATGCCAATGAACTTGATTATACCCTGCAGGCAAAATATGCCTCTTACAGAGAGACAAATGAATTTGATTTTTCGTCAAGCATGATGGAGACGGAAAGTGCGAGATTGGACAGAGGCTCTCTGGATGCACAGACCGACCTACTTCCTGGGGAGAGCGAGAGTCATAAAGGCCCCCGTGCACTTTACACCAGAGCCAGGGACAGAAAGGCCCTCGCCTGAGCTGGATCAAGCTGACCCAGCACCCTCTTTTCCAGGAAATTCTGTCACCCACTCCACTCCCCGCCCCAAGGAGCAATAGCGAATAGCTTCAGTTACAGGCTAATAGCACAAGACAAGAGGAAGGGAAGGGAGCGTGTCCAACTCAAAATGATGACAAGGTTGTTCCTCGGCTGATCTTATCAACAACCTTCTTTGTGTGTAAACTGTTTACAAGTGAATACAATGCTGCCAGTCATAGCCTCTGCTGGTTCCTGTCTGGCAGGTCAGGCTGGTCCAGGGGGAGGAAGGGGAGATGACAAGCCCCAGGCAGCATCAATTCCCTCCCCACCTCCTCCCCCAATGCCCCAGAGTCCCATGTAGAGAAAGCATTTGTGACATGTTTTGAATAGAGATATGCCTGGATTTCAAAATAATAAACTTTAAAAATAGTCCAGAAGAGTTTATGTCTGGATTTTCTGTGACACAAGTGCAGAAAAGCAAAGCAGGAATAGAAGAATCGACATGTGAGAGGAAACATCAGAGAAAAGCTGACCAGTGAACACACTACACACGCAGACTGCGGCCACATGGATGTAGGCTGTGGGTGCTACACTGAACCCTTGGAATCTCAACCTCCTTAACTGGCAATGTTCTTCTATCGTCACTCCCAGCTGACAGCAAACTCAGTTATAAATCTCCTCTTCAGGTTAGCTGGAGAATCATTTTGCATAAAGAAAGGAAAAGTGCTGTGGGAGAGTCATTCCCCATGACACAGCACAGACATTAGGTGACCCGCCGGGAGGTTGCCACAGTGCTGTGCGGTTAGATTCTGCCAGAGCAGGAGGAGAGCGACCAAGCACAGCACTGGTGGCAGGGATGGCTCATCTTTAAGGCTGTCTGCAGGGGCAGTACAGCAACCACTGAGAATGTTCGAGTTTTAAAGACCCGTAGCAGGAAATCGGCGGCAGGTGGACTTTCCAAGTGTCCATGTTTGGCATCCTCAGGGTCATCCTTGGGTGAGCTGTGGAGATCTGAGTAAGAATGTGAGCACCTCCAGGAGTGAGCCCTGAGTGCGGAGTCAGGAGTAAGCCCTGAGAGGATCTGGGTGTGCCACCCCCTCAGAAAGAGAGGAAAGGGGAAGGGAGGGGAGAAGTGGGAAGGGCATATTGGGGGGGGGGGGAGTGGGTGGTGATGAGGGGGCCAGGCAGGGGAATCTGGAGAGTTGATTTTTTAAAAATTTTTTAATGAATCACCGTGAGGTACAGATACAGACATACAAACTCCCATGACGTTTCAGTGATACAATGGTTGAGTACCTATCCCTCCACCAGTGCCCATTCTCCACCACCTATGTTCCCAGCGTCCCTCCAGCCACCCCCCTAACACCCCCCCCCCCGACCCCCACCGGCTCTGTGGGAGGCACATTCCCTTTTACTCTCTCTCTCCTTTCGGGCCTTATGGTTTGCAATACAGGCATTAAGTGGTCATCATGTTCAGTCTATAGTCTACTTTCAGCATGCCACCTCCCATCCTGAGTGAGCCCTACAAGCATCATTCACTTGGTGGTCCCCCTTCTCTATCTCAGCTGCCTTTTCCCCCAGCGTGTGAGGCCGGCTTCCAAGCTGTGGAGCAATCCTCCTGGCCCTTATCTCTACTATCCTTGGGTGTTAGTCTCCCATTATTGGAGAGTTGACTCTTAAGAGCAAATACTAGTTAGAAGCTAAGTTTTTTTTTTTTTAAGAAAAAAAAAAACCAGGATGAGGGTGGGCACGCCTACGGAGGTGGCTCGGTTGTAGAACCACGCTTTATAGGTTCAAGGCCCTGTGTTTGTTCCCTGGCACCAGCACCACCACTGAGTAGTAATCTTAAGCACAAATGGGTACAATCCCTAGCACAACAATCAATGGATAAACGAATAATGAGTAAACAAATGAAGAGCAGCCTGGCTCTGCTAGAGGGTGATGTGGTGAAAAGAACCATGTAAACATTTAACGCATGTGCCTTCTGGGAGTCCCCAGGAATAGCCTAACAGGGCCAGCCAGTCCTGCTGTCAAGGGGCCATGAGAGGCTCAGGAAAGCACTGAGTCCATCTTTCCAGCACCACCTGTACAAACCAACAGCCTCACCCCGCCATGCTCCCAGGGTAGTGCCAGCAGGAAGCACACCCCAACAAAGCCTCATGTCACAGGTGAGAACTTCAGCATGTTTGGAATCTAGGGAAACCTCTCCCAAAGCTCAAAAAACTGTCAGCCCTTCCATAGTTTGCACAGATGTCACCCTCACAGCCCCACAGATGAGACATCTCCATTCTGTGACTTCTCATTGGTTTCTGAGAACCCCCCGAGGACATGCCTACCTTGTCCACGTTGGCCCGCGTCTTGGCCGATGTCTCCACATACTGCACACCCCACTCCTCTGCTTTGCTCCTTGCCTCCTCGATGGGCACCTGTCTCCGCTCCTCCAAGTCAGACTTGTTTCCCACAACAAGCAATGGAATTTTATCTTCTTCAGCCTTAACACGTAGGATCTGTTCCCTGGAAGCATGATATCAGAAATCAGGCAGTGAAGAAAGCTAGAACAATAACCTAATTTCATTGGCACACCTAAAATGAATAGCTTTTCCAAGGAGGAGGAGGAGAAGAGGAGGAGGAGGAGGAGGAGGAGGAGGAGGAGGAGAAGGAGGAGGAGGCGGCGGCTATGAAACCTGGTGGGGTTTTTTCCCCCATGGAAAGGTGCATTTTATTAGTAGATCATAAAATGAATTTAACGGATCACAATTACTGACTTTTCCTCCTCCTCAATGAAAAAGAATATTCTAGAACAGGCTGAAAAGGAAAATCAGAGGGCAACTGAAACAGCAGAGATAAGTATGGTTTTGTGAAACTCTTGTCACATCTGCCTGTTTCCATATGTAACACCTGCTTCCCTCCCAATTCCATTTAGAAGTCAATGATACAGGCAACAGAATGGGGTGATTACTTGGGTGGTAATGCATTGTAATGTACAAATTTTATACTATAAAGTGGATAATTTTTTAAAAAGTTTTTTCTTAATTAATGTTTATTTCTTTGATTTTGATTTCAGCTGTGCTTGGGGCTTACTCCTGGCTCTGAACTCAGAGATTACTCCTGCTTGTACTCAGGGGAACATATGGGGCACCAGGGATCAAACCTGGGTCAACCACGTACAAGGCAAATGCCCTCCCTGCTTTACTATTGCTCCAACCCCAAAGGCGATAAATATTTTAATGTTCCAATATCTATGGGAAAAGGCCTCCAAAAAATCTGTTAAAAACCAATTACCTGAAGACAAAGGAAAAATAAAAAATTATCTTAAGGCCAATGGAGACTAAAAAGCTATTGAACTATACAGGGCTCGAGCGATAGCACAGAGGTACGGCGTTTGCCTTGCATGCGGCCGGTGTGGCCAACCCAGGTTTGATTCCTCCACCCCTCTCGGAGAGCCCAGCAAGCTACCAAGAGTATCTCACCTGCACAGCAAAGCCTGGCAAGCTACCCATGATGTATTCGATATGCCAAACACAGTAACAACAAGTATCACAATGGAGACTTTACTGGGCCCGCTTGAGCAAATCAATGAGCAAAGGGAGGACAATGCTACAGTGTTACAGGGCAGAACAAATGTAGATCTAAAAGTGAGGTTCTTAGTACAGCCAATGTCAGTTAACCACACTCAAGGAGGTTTTTTATAAATATAAAGGAACCAGAAATGAACGAATGAAATCAAGTCAGTAGAAAGGAATAATGAAAATTAGAGCAGAAATAGATTACACAGAAACAACAACAACAAAAAAAGATAAGACAAAAGGTTAACAAAACCAAAATTAATTTACTAGGAAAAAAGGAGCAAAACCCCAATTAAGAAAATCAGGAAAAAATGGTGATTAAAAAATCAAATATCACAGAAAAACAAAGGATTCTAAGATAGTACTATGAGGAACAGAAATGCAAATGAATTGTACAACCTAAAAGAAATGGACAAATTTTTGGAATTTAATGACCTTCCAAGACTAAACCAAGGAAAAAAACACAATAACAAGTTTAAAACAGACTCATCACATGTACAGAAATCAAAACTTCAGGGCTGGAGACAGTTCAGCAGGGAGGGTATTTGCCCTAGACATAGCTGACCCGGGTTTGACCCCAGGCATCCCAGATGGTTTCCTGAGGCCACAAGGAGCGATCCCTGAGCATAGAGCCAGCAGTCAGGCCTGAGCACGGCCCTGGTGTGGCCTCAAAATAACAACAAAAGAAAATCAAAACCTCAATCAACAGTCTCCCTAACAAAAAAAGTCCAGCTTTACGAGTGAATTTTACCAAACTGTCAGAGACAGTATAATAATTTATCCTTTCTTAATTCTTCTGAAAAACAGAAGAGGGAGCAATGTTCTCAAACACAATTTCAATGCCAAAACTAGACTAGGGAAATAAAAAAAAACAACAACAACCAGAAAGTATAGACTAATATCTCTGGTGAACACAGACAGAAAACTCCTCAAAAAAATTTGGCTAACTGAATCAAAAGCGTCACAGACAATTATTATGTGGGGTAGTTTAAGTTCAACACAAGCATTCAAAGTCATGATGCCTAAATAACAACTGAAGAAAAGAACAAATGATGCAAACAAATACACCATGTCAACAAAAGGTAAGATAAAAATCACTGACCACATATCAACAGATTCCATAAAAACATTTGTCAAGAATAATACCCATTTGTGATTTTTTAAAATTCCCAATAAACTGGAAACAGAAGGAAGGCGCTAAAAGCTTTCCCCCTAATATCTGATATAAAACAAAGATATACATCCACTCGGACCATTACGGCTCAATACATATCTGGAAGTTTGGGCCAAAAAGATTAGGCAGGAAAAATGCATACAAGACATAAACACTGTCAAACACTGTCCTCCCATTGTTCATCGATTTTGCTCGAGCGGGCCCAGTAATGTCTCCATTTTGAGATTTCTTGTTACTGTATTTGGCATATCGAATACGTCACGGGGAGCTTGCCAGGCTTTGCCATGTGGGCGAGATACTCTCGGTAGCTTGCCAGCCTCTCCGAGAGGGGCGGAGGAATCGAACTTGGCTTGACTGGGCTGGCTGCGTGCAACGCAAACGCCCTACCTGCTGTGCTATCACTCCAGCCCATACAAGGCATAAAACTGGAAAATAAATAAAACCATTATTATTTTCCTATGATATGATAACTTACACAGGAAACCCTAATCGTGCTACCAAAAAATTATTGTAAGTCATCTATAAAAATCTATAGGAACCCCAAAACCTATTGGGCCCAAGAAATAGTACAGGCGTAAAGGTGCCTTATCTTACACATGGTGAATCCCAGTTCTATTCGGGCATTGCATTTTTCAAGGAAGCACTGCTAGGACTAATCCCTGAACATAGAGGAAGCATTAACCCTGAGCACTCCTGGATATGACCCAACCTCCTCCACCTTTCAAAAAAATCTACCACATTTCTATATATAAAAAAATAGAAAAATGAGACTCAAAGTTTACAATTACATAAGAAATACACACACACACACACACACACATATACACATAACACATATCTGAGAATACTCCTAATAAAATAAGGGAAATGTCTTCACAATGCAATGAAAACCATAAGAAATTGTTGAGAGAAATAAAAGATGGCACACAAAAAGAAAAAGGCATTCCATGTTCAGGGCTGGAAGAATCAACATTGTTTGCAATTCAATTTACAGATTCAATGCAATCTCTATCAAAATCCCAATAGCATTTTACAAGAAAGCAAAATAATTATAAAATAGATAGAGAAATATGAAAGACAATAGCCAAAGCTATCCTGTAAGAAAAGAAAAATGAAGGGATATGCTTCCTGACTTCAAATTACTCAAAGTTAAAGTAATAAAAACAGCATAGTGCTGGACCGAAAAACACACACAGATCAACAGAATAGCACTATAGCACTGTCCTCCCGTTGTTCATCGATATGCTCGAGTGGGCCCAGTAACGTCTCCATTGTGATACTTTGTTACTGTGTTTGGCATATCGGGTAGCTTGCCAGGCTTTGCCTTGCAGGAGAGATACTCTCGGTAGCTTGCCGGGCTCTCCGAGAGGGGCGGAGGTATTGAACCTGGATCGGCTGGATTGGCCATCACTTAATCACTTAATCACTTGTAACACAAGTAATGCTTGAATATTAAATCTAAGTAGCTTTGCTGTCACTGTCACAGTCCTCCCGTTGTTTATTGATTTTGCTTCAGCGGGCCCAGTAACGTCTCCATTGTGACACTTGTTACTGTGTTTGGCATATCGAATACGTCACGGGGAGCTTGCCAGGCTCTGCCATGCGGGCGAGATACTCTCGGTAGCTTGCCAGGCTCTCCGAGAGGGGCGGAGGAATCGAACTTGGGCCGGCCATGTTGGCTGCATGCAAGGCAAACGCCCTACCCGCTGTGCTATCGCTCTAGCCCCTACATTTCTACATTTCGGTGAGGGTCAGTGAACATGCTAACATTTCTAAGTTATAACTGGAAACTATGAATAAGCAATCTGGAAACTGAATAAGAACAATTGATAGCTTTCTGATTTATCGGTCTGTCAGACAAAGGTAAAATTACCTCATTCATAAATCTGTTGGTCCAGAAGGGAAGCACTAAGTTCTAGTATCTAATTCTCTGGTTTAATAAATATTGTCTAGGAAACACTTATTGTCCAGGAAACTCTTGTAAAAGAAGAACACTTGTAAAACAAATATTGTCTAGGAAATACTTGTAAAAGAAGATAGTGGACTAACATTTTATGTTGGGGCCTTTACATAAGGACACAGAGAAATGCTATGTTTTTTACTCCTAACAGTCTAAAATGACTTGGTTTAACCATGAAGACTCAGATAATCTACCTGCAGTCTTCTGTTTCCAATGTCATTAGAACCTGGACGGTTACAGGTCTCATATCTTAAGTGTCCAGAGTACAGGCTTGTCTACTCTCCAACTGTCTTTGACTTTTTGGTTCCCCCTTGCCTTCCCTCGTCAGTCAAAAGGCAATGGGGAACCAAAAAGTCAAAGACAGAAAAAAGCAAAAGTGTATACACATCTGTATTGTTTCATTCTAAAGGAGGCGTCAGAAATGGAATCGTGCAATTATAAATGCACAGACTATCTCCATACATAGAAACTTTTAAGTGTGTCAGAAAAGCCTAAGCATATGACTTTCTCATAAAATGTTCTAAGGATAAAACTGATTACTATAACATACACACTCCGGTTCCAGAGACTTCAGATACTCAACCTTAAAGATTTGAGGCTACACAGCATGACTGAGGCACTGACTATCTTATCACCTTCCATTCACTCTACTGTTTTACCCGAGTCAACCTCCCTGGCTCACTGATGCTTGCTTCCAAATCTTGGGGGAATATTTAGCATCCTCATTTTCACCTTTGGTTGGTCACTTTAATTTCTGACCAGAACTTGCTAAAGAATGAAAACAAAAATTAGTTTTTTTTTCTTTTCTTTTCAGTTTCCTGTTAAGTGCTAGGACTGGCTCTTTAAAAATCATCTGGATAGATATGTTAATAAAGAAAATGAGGGGCTGGAGAGATAGCACAGCGGGTAGGGTGTTTGCCTTGCACGCAGCCGACCCGGGTTCGATTCCCAGCATCCCATAGGGTCCCCTGAGCACCGCCTGGCATAACTCCTGAGTGCAGAGCCAGGAGTAACCCCTGTGCATCGCCAGGTGTGACCCAAAAAGAAAAAAGAAGAGAATTAAAAAAAATAAAAACCTTTGTGTAAGAGAAATGAGAGGGGCAAGGGGTAGAGAGAAGATACCCTTTCCACAGGGTTAGGGAGATGGCTTAAAGAGCTGGAGGGCATGCGTTGCATGCATGAACTTGGAGTTCAATTTCTGGTACCACATGGTTTCATGAGCACCACCAAGAGTGCCCCTTTCCCCAAAAAATTTAACTAAATTTTTGCAAGAATTATAGCCAGTGACTCATTATTTCTTTGTAACAAATGCACTTAAGGCATCTTTAACAACCACATCTTAAAGAAATTAAAAGAGCAAACATTCCTCTCACTATGCAAGCACCAGAGGCTCACACTGGGACAGCCTCCAGACAACAGGGAAACGGAGCTAGCCTCCTGCCCCTATGGGATTTACAGGCCAAAGCATCATGTCCTTTTATTTTATCAACTGCATTTTCAATCGAAAAAAAAAAAAAACAGGATCTCCAATACTAAACAAATTTTCCAAGAGTCACAAAACTGCTAAGTAGGAAGACAGGACAGGGACTCAAACCCAGGTCTTTCTGACCCAAAAACAATTTCTATTTTTCCCTCCAACTATGCACTTAAAGTCCATTCTGTAGCTCTTTAAGAACAACAAACTATTAAGATAATTTCTATAGAAAAATAATAAAACAAAGAGCACAACAAGTGAATATAAATAGTGTGTACCAAAATTCAAAATGCCTTTAGAAATTATCTCTTTTTTTTTGTTTTTTGGGTCATGCTTGTTGATGTACAGGGGTTACTCCTGGCTCATGCACTCAGGAATTACTCCTGGAAGTGCTTGGGGGACCATATGGGATGCCGGGAATTGAACCCAGGTCGACCACGTGCAAGGCAAACGCCCTACCCACTATGCTATCATTCCAGCCCTCGTCTTACTTTCTGAATAGGGACCATATATAGAGGAGCTCTTGGGCCATCAGGTCCATCCTTACTGGCAGACATGCAAAGCCACGGATTGATCTCTGGGCCCAGCACATGCTATACATGTGCTATACCATTGGCATAGTATCGCCCCATCCCTAAGCCCCAGGAAATTTAGACAGAATTTTTCCTAATAACAAGTTTACGCCTCTACAACTATGCTCAGAGCGGAATTCCTTCATTAGTCTTTATTGTCTTTGACAATAAAGGCAGACAAAAGAATTATTACAGGCAGGAGGAATTTCCTTTTGAACAGACCTGAATTCCGCGGTTGCTGTAAATGATTCATGTTCGGTGATGGAGAAGACGAGGAGAAACCCTTCCCCACTCCGGAAGTAGTTGTCTCGAATAGCTGCATAGTCCTCTTGACCGGCTGTGTCCAGAATGTCAATCTGAACTTCTTCTCCATCGAGAACCACTTTCTTCCTGTAACTGTCAGCTTTGGTAGGCTCATAGTCTTCTACAAACTGAAGAAATACAAATTATTGGTGATTCACTGAGTTATAAGGGAAGTCATTTCTTGCCCAACATAAAACTTTAACTAATGTACTTTGCCTATACCCATAATAAAGTCCCTTTATTACCTTGAAGTAGGGAAGACATTTTTTAACTATGACTCAAAATCCAGAAGCCATGGAAGAAAAAAATGGACAAATTAGACATGAAAATGTTTTTTATACTTCTGCACGTAACCACACACTATAAACACTGTCACTGTAAACAAAGGCAGATTTTAAAAAATGGGAAATGTTACTAAAGCCATACCACAATGAGCCTATACATAAAACATTTCCTATGGGAGGGGGGAGATTAATAATCCAATGAGGTAAAAGTGGCAATGGAATAAACAGTTCAGAAAGATACAAAGGAAACGAAGAATGTTGAAAGATTTTCATTCTCACAAATAAAGAATATTAAAATTGTAAGTTCACTGAGATACCACTTTCACCTACAAAACCGGCAAAAATCCCAGTCTGAAAACATATTCTGGGGCAAAGGCACATGTGTACATTGCTAGTGGTAGTGAAGAGCAGGATGCTCTTTGTAGAGATAAATGTAGAACTAGAAAAGTGTTTTTCCTGTCTAGTCATCCTTTCTAGGAATCTGATCTACAAAAAGAAAAAAAAACATCATAAACGAACATGCAAGGTTATTCACCAGGAGACTGTGGGGAAGACCACAGTTAACCACCACCAAATGCATGGAATTGTATGCAGCTGTACAAAGGAGGAGGCAGGGCCTGGGAGACAGCTCAACTGGTAGAGCACACATGTACTGAGCAGGGGAGATGCCCTGCATAGTGTCCCTTAGCACTGCTGGGTGGAGCTCCCAAACCATCAGGCCCAGGCACCACACTGTCAGACCCCATCATCACAGCCCCCTCTGCCAGGCTGAGCTTCGCTGAGAGTGGGCTTGGAGTCTCTGAGCACCACTGGGTTAGTCTCTAAGAAACAATGAGGAAATTAAGGAGTCCTGTGTCCCCCATACCATCTCATAAATAAGTCTTTTTTGGTTTGGGTTTTGATTTGGGGACCACACCCAGCACTGCCCAGAGGCTGCTCTGGTTCTGTGCTGAAGGGTTGCACCCAGCCAGGGGTCAAGGAACAATATAAGGTGCCAGGCATCAATCCCAAGCCTCCCGTATGCAAAGCACGTGACCAGCCTATTGAGCTGTCTCCCCCATCCCAGAAAGGCGCTGCTAAACATTTCATCACTGTGCAAGTGTCAAGCACACACCTAGATGGTACAGCTTACTCTACACCTGGTCTATGTGGTAGTGCCGAATGCGACCACGTTTTATATGCTATCCTTCCCTCACTGAAATGCCACTGAACAACATTTGTGCCATCAGTATGTACAAGGTACTGGGCTGGAGAAGATCTCCTATCCTTTGCGTAAGGGAAACGGGGATAGCAAGAATAAGACGGTCATGGTCACGGTCCTCCCACTGTTCATCGATTTTGCTCGAGCGGGCCCAGTAACATTGTGAGACTTGTTACTGTGTTTGGCATATCAACTATATCATGGGGAGCTTGCCAGGCTTTGCCGTGTGGGCGAGATACTCTCGGTAGCTTGCCGGGCTCTCCGAGAGGGGTGGAGGAATCGAAATCGGGTTGGCCATGTTGGCTGGGTGCAAGGCAAACGCCCTACCCGCTGTGCTATCGCTCCAGCCCAGCAAGAATAAGGGACAGAGACAAATGAAGCCCTGCTTACGGCCATTTCAGCCGATGATTGGACACACAGAAGTGGCAATGGTCTGCGGCCAACAGGCTCTCTCACAGCTTCAGTGTGCAGTGGGTGATGCTGTCTAGGTTTGGGTAACTACGCACTATGACATCTGCACAATAGCAGATCACCTAAAGGGGCACAGACTAGAATGTGACCGCTTTGGTAAGTGTTAGAGATGTATCTGATACACAGGTTGCATGTATCTTCACATCTACTTGCCTGTATCTGCCAAAAGTGATTGTCAAAAAGGCCAAAGAAAAACAAATCTAAAAGCTGTTAAATGGATAAAAAAAACTGAAACAAAATAGCCTAAATAAATAGTAAGTTGAAATGCAGTCCTTCAGAGAATTAATGCACAAGATACTTAGATATTTTGTCACAATGCAATCCACTGAAAAAAGGCTAGGGACAAAAAGAAAAATTCAAAGAAATGCTAAATGTCCTCCAGTTGACTGTATTCTTTATCATGATATTAAAATTTTTAACTTATTTTCTTTATATATGTTCTGCTTATCATGTAAGAAATTATCTTACTGCTAGAAGTGAAAATATTCAGGAGTGACTTAATGATCGCAATATACTATTAAAACTGAAGTGACACTTCATTGACAAAATCGGTTATCCCATGCAAAAAAAATGAAGGCAAACCCTATTTCATATCTCATACAAGACTAAAAACAAATCAAAGACCTTAGTGTAAGAGCTAAATTAGAAACTCTTTTTGTGGGGGAGAGGGAGCTCCTAAGTGGTGTTCAGGAGGCCCAGGGGCCCCTCCTGGCAATTCTTAGCCAGCTGGATCCAGTTCCATGCTAGAGCCTGAAACCCGCTGCTGCTCTGGCCCTGAGGTGTCAGGGACTATCCAGCTGCCCTGACAGTGCTCAAAGGCCTCCAGGACCACACCCAGCAACTCGGCAGCTTCCAGACCAGCACCTGGGGCTGCTCAGGGAGACCTAACCAGGAGAGCCACATGCAAGGCAAGTGCTGTAATCCCCGTCCAATCTCCTGCCCCTACAATAGTACGCTCTTAGCATAAAACAGGTGTGAGGAGCTGGAGAAATAGCACAGCGGGTAGGGCGTTTGCCTTGCATGAGGCTGACCCGGGTTCGATTCCCAGCATCCCAGATTCCCGAGCACCCCCAGGAGTAATTCCTGAGTACAGAGCCAGGAGTAACCTCTGAGCATCACCAGGTATGACCCAAAAAGCAAAAAAAAAAAAAAAAAAAAAAAAAAAAAAAAAAAAAAACAGGTGTGTATCTCTATTAGCTGGGATTTAGCAATTTATTCTTATATATGTCCGAAGATGTTGCTTGAACCAAAAATACAAGCAGAAAGAAGAAAATGAGGTAAACTGGACTTAATTAAAATGTATGGGCTGGAGAGAGAGCTCACGTGGTAGAACACATACTGAGCACATGCACAGCCGTGAACACACAGCCCAGTTGGAACCCTGGTCGCCTGCACTGGGCTGTGCTCTGCCAGGGGCAGCTCCAGTCCCCTAGCACCACCAGGATAGTAAGATCCATTGTAAAAAATTTAAGTTTTAATCTAAATTTTTCATACTTCAGGAGCTGGAGCTATAGCACAGCAGGTAGGGCATTTGCCTTGCACGCGGCCGACCGGGGTTCAATCCCCGGCATCCCATATGGTCCCCAAGCACTTCCAGGAGTAATTCCTGAGTGTAGAGCCAGGAGTAACCCCTGAGCATTGCTGGGTGTGACGTTCCCCCCAGCCCCCAAAAAAATGAGAGATGAAAGGTCAGAATCACAGGACAGGGGGTAATGCACTTGCCTTGCATGTGTCTAACCCTGGCTGGATCCCCAGCACCATCTATGGCCCCCTGAGCACCACCAGGAGGGATCCCTGAGCCCTGCTGGAGTAACCCTGAGCATCACTGAGTGTGTCGCCCCCCCCCCAAAAAGGGAAAACAAAAGTTTGATCCAGGGTTCGATTCCCAGCATCCCATATGGTCCCCTGAGCAGGAGTAATTTCTGAATGCAGAGCCAAGAGTAACCCCTATGTATTGCCATGTGTGATCCAAAAAGAATATATAAATTAATTAAAATTTCATACTTCAAGGACATAATCAAAAAAGTGAAAAAAAAAGCAACCTGAAGAACCCAAATTCCAAATCCACTGGGTGTATAATAAAAATGGGAGAGGACATTTCTAAGTTATACTTCTAATAAAGAGATTGTATCCAAAACGTAAATAAGACTCATGAAATCCAGCAATAAAAAAAAAAACAAGTATCCCAACTGAAAAACAAAGGAGCTAAAGAAACATTTCACCAAAGATCTACAGATGGCCAGTAAGTACATGAGAGGATACAACATCATTGTTCCAGAAATGCAAATACAGAATTAAATGAAACCCAAACTCCAAATCCACTGGGTGTATGATAAATAAGGAGGAATAAGTATTCACAAGGATGTGGAGAAGCTGGAACCTTCATACATTACTAACAGAATTGTAAGATGAGACAGCTGCTGTGGAAAAGTTCGGCAGATCCCCAGAAGTTGGAGCTCCCAAATGATCCAGCAAATTTCATGCCTAGATATACACCTAATTTAAGACAAACACATGTCTACACAAAAACTCCTACATAAATATTCACAGAACTAATTTCATTCATATAACCAGAGATTAACAATCCAAGTATCGACCAAATGATGAGTGGATAAACAAAAAATGTCAGATCCAGACAATGAAATATTATTCAGTTACTAGAGGAATGAGGCACTAATTCATGATACAATGGAGATAAACCTTGATAAAGTATATAAAAGGAGTCAGACTCAAAAGATCACATAACATAAGGGTCTATATGAAAGATCAAGAACAGACAAGCTTTATAGAGACTAAGCAGATCAGCACTATGGTATTTCTTTTCAGGTGATGAAATGTTCTGAAATTGGTGGTGATGGATTTACAAATGTGTGAACATACTAACAACCACTGAATTGTACAGTTTGAAAGGGTAAATGTTGTTATGGTACATAAAGTTTCCACAGTATATGAAGGTACATCTCAACTTCCTTGAAATGGAATGATGTATTAACACATATTACAAGATGGATGAACTTTTAAAATACTATTCTCAATGAAAGCAAGCAAGACATAGAGGTGGCATATTACATGATTCTATTTAAATGCACTGTAAAACTGAAAAATCTACAAAACAAAAGTGGTTGCTAGGGACTAGGGGTGAGGTGTGCTGATGAGAAATGACCCAGTAATTTAGGGTTTCTATTTTTGAATGAGGAGGTTGTTCTAAATTATGAATAATGATGAACAATCAAACTGTTCTGAGAGTGTATCATGGTTGTACACCTTTGTGAATGTACTGAAAAAGACTAAAATATCATTTTCAAAGAAGGAATTTTATGGTGTATTAATTACATCTTAACAAAATTACAATTTAAAGAACTTTTTATTTAAAAACTGATTTGAGGGGCTGGAGCAGTAGCACAGCAGGTAAGGTGTTTGCCTTGCACGCGGCCAACCCAGGTTCGATTCCCAGCACCCCATATGGTCCCCTGAGCACCACCAGGGGTAATTCCTGAGTGCAGAGCCAGGAGTAACCCCTGTGCATTGCCAGGTGTGACCCAAAAAGCCAAAAAAAAAATAAAATATTAAAAAAAAACTGATTTGAAAGTACCAAGAGGAACTTACAGGCTCTTTCAGGAATACATTTAAATACATTCAGGCCAGGGAGATGGCCCAAGTAGCTCCCTGCAGGAGTCCTGAGTTCAATCTGCTAGGCCCTCCCTGGGCCCCCCAATGCCAGCACTGCCTCAAGAGTAGCTCCCAAGCATCACTGGGTACGGTCCCAAAAGAAAAAAGTGTCCTGTATTGTCAACTATTATGAATTCAAATGATTTCAATTCAAAAGTGAAAGTACGAAAACATCTTTCATAATATAACTGTCTTAGAGGAAATGTTAAAAAGGAACCAAGGTGCGGCAGAGCTTTTTTCTTTTAACTCCTTTTGGAAGAGGCGAAACCTCACCCCCCAGGGCCAATTTCTGGCTCCAGCACCAAGCATCTCTGCTACTTATCTCAGAACTTTTACAGTAGCCCGGTATTTGTGAGGACATTCAGATCTGCCCTCCTTCTGTATCAAGCAGATAGGGAGGAAAGGGGGAGTCTCTGGAAAGCGCCAGGCATGGTGGCCAAGGTCATTTGGCTCCATCATGTCCACCCACACCAACCTGCAGAACCAAGAGTATGGGACTGAGGCTCTTGACTAGGCCAAGTCTGAGTTCAAATGCTCTGGCTGCCAGAAAATCCACATTTCCCAGAAGTGGAGCTTCATCAAGTTCAATGTGGATGCGTTGGCAGATGCTGTAGCTAGAAAGGGTGCCCTAGTGGATGGCGTCAGACACAACCCAGACACAACCCACATGGGATAATGCAGTGCACCTCTTTGATGCAGGCCTCTGGACAAAGGGTGAGTGCTATATCCTGAGAGCCTTAGAGCTGCACCCCCTGCCCCAAATCCCTGGTCCGCTCCCCACTCACCCAATAAATCCTGCTTCCTATCCAACGGGAAAAAAAATTAGTCGACCATCATAGTCGATCCAAACTTCTCCTTCATTGACAGCTCAAGAAGTTTTTCCTCGGCTCCACTAACTGCAAGATATTACTAGTAATGAAAGTTTTACCACTATTATCAAATTTCGAAAACCTTCAACACACTTCTCTGTAAGAAGCTAAAAGATCTGAAAGAACCCTCCTGGTCAGTTTCTAGAGTCGTACAATTTTACTCTCTATTTCTCATTTATTGTGCTCACACCGGCAATCCAGGGTAGAACGGGATCGAGCTGGGGTCCGCACCCCTGAACGCCCCGCCCCACCGCGAGGTGGGGGAGAAGGGAGAGACCCGCTGGCAGAACGAGAAGAGCAGTCCCATTCACGAGGAATGTCCATCCCTCGTCTGGCGCAGCTTAGGCCCGGCCCGGGAGAGCACACCAACACCACATGATCAGCAAGGAAAGGATGCGAGAAGCGAGCGGCCACGGGCCCCCCCAAACGAGGAGGGGACCAAACCCCGAAGGAGAGCGTGCAAAGGACAGCAACCCTCCGGAGAGGGAAGAGGCCCATTTCAGCCTCTGCCCACCCTTCTGACCTCGGGGTGATTCCAGACCCAACCGGACCCCCCCCCCCCCAATGAGAGCGAGACTGCCTGACATGCAGCGGGCATTTCACCAGGACACCACCCAGCACTGCACTTATGCCTGTGAGCGCTGGAGAGTCAGCACAGTGAGCAGCAGGGGAATTAGTGAGGGAGGCGGTTCCTATGATGAGACAGCTAGTACCCACCCCTCTTCCCCCCCAACACACACACACACACACACACACACACACACACACACAGAGCAATACCACTCCATGTGAGGACCACTAATCTCCAACAGCACCCCTAAGTTGGATCCCAAATATTCGTATGGCCATCACCCAGCCTGAGTGAACAGAATGTCTAGTGAAGCAAGAAAATGATCTCTCTTCTTAAAAAAAATATTGAATATCCATGAGATGATGGACCTTTACAAAGCTGTTGATCACTGGGTTTCAGTCATACAATGATCCAACTCATCCCTTCACTAGTGTGTATTTCCCACCACCAATATCCCCCATTTCCCTCCCGCCATCCCCCAACACACACACACACACACACACACACACACACACACACACACACACACACCGCCTACCACCATCCTGCCTCTATGGCAGGCACTTTTCTTCTCTATCTCTCTCCTTTTGTGCATTATGTTTTGCATTACAGGTACTAAGAGGTGATCATGTTTGTTCAGGGCATTCCATATTTTTATCGGGACAGTAAGGCTGGAGTAGCTTTTTTTAACTGGCAGCTTTGAGGTATGAGTGTGACTACTGGGGCTTCTGGACGTACAGGGATGTAGGAGGGGGGTAGCGCATTCCAACCCCAAGAAAGCCTGGAGATTTTGTTGCATGAATATTCTTTTGATCGGAGGCACAGAGAAAAGACACATGAGAGGAATGTAGAGAGCATGGAGGGCCAAGGCTCGATCTGCCTTGAGGCGAAGAGTGACTCCCAGAGGCCACCTTTTATTCTATTTTTATCAGTTACATCCTAATGACTTCATCACGGAGAAAGACTCACCAAAGAGAGTACAAACAGTTATAGGATGAGCTTTCGTCAAAAGAACATCAGGGTATATATTGTCTTGTCAAAGCCATGTTGCCAAAGCTATGCTGTTATGATAAAAAATGTCAGAGGAAGATATGGAACTGGACACGTAGGCTCTACAGATTACATCTCCCACATTCTTGAGGTTGGTTACACATAGGGCAAAGAGAAGGCTCATACTGATACTTGAAGTTCTATCCAGATTAAGGATGTGTAAGAGAGGGGGAAACTGCTGCCTTGTACTGCCAAGATAATGTATAACTAGGCGGGTATATGAGAGTATTCTGGACTTCTCCAGAATCATTGGATTCAAAAGTTTTAGCTTGCCCACTTAATGTAAAAGTGGGGCCTCGGTCCCGCTTCCTGTTTGCAGGGCAGCATCAGAGGCTCGTCCTAATGTCCTGGATTAGCATCAACATCATTTCAGTGACAAAACCCACATAACCAGAATTTTCAGCAGATTATACCTCGTGATGTCCATTCCCGGACGATCAAGTCTGGCTGGGAGCATGGCAGCAATTCTGGATTGTGGAAGCAAGCGGCTGCTGAGGGCTCTGCTTGGGCCAGTACCAGACTGACCCGCCCCAGCTCCGATTTACCCCGGTCTGTCCAGTCATGCTCAGGTCCGAGATTAACTGTGGCTTTTGATCTCTCTCAAGATTTATTTATGGGTCGATAAATGAGCTTGTATAGCTAAACCAGAGGTAGTTTGAGGGCGTGGCTCCCGCATACTTAACTTTTGGCCGTTTAATTTCTTGGTAAACTTGGCCCCAAGTTGTTGGGTCTGGTCAGAGGCACAGCGGCAATTTGGGGGTATTAGGAAGACTGAAGGCACCATCTGGCTGCTGATGCACTCACTCCACGAGAACAAGTTGACCTGCTGGCAGCACTGCACCCCCAAGATAATGATCTTAACCTAAACTTTTTCCATAAACTTAATAAACTGCATGTGTGTGGGTATTGATCGGAGTGGCCCTGAGGCTCAAGTCCTGCCCATAGTACCAGCAAACAGCCCTCAAGGAGAGTTATGTCTGCCACAGGAATCAAGACTTTGTTGACACTCTTGACTCGGAATGAGCTACAAGACCGAGATTAAGAATTTGAAGGGTAAGGATGGCACAGACCTTTCCTTGCTGCACAGGGGAACGAGAGGGAACCTGTTGCCTGTCACTTGAAAAAACATTAAAGGATTCAGTTAGGTGTCTAGTGTCTCTGCAACAGACTGGTCACAAAGCCAAGTCTCTGCATGCACTGCTCTGCAGAATGAATGGTGCAAAGGTCTGACCACCCCTCCCTTGCTCCTGTCAGAAAAGCAAGTTCCAGAAGCCAGAGCGATAGGACAGCGGTTACGGCATTTGCCTTGCAATGCAGCTAACCCGGGTTCGGTCCCAGGCACCCTATATGGCTCCAGAGCCCAGGCGGGAGTGATCTCTGATACTGGTGTGATGGGGTTAAGATCTGAGGTCGGGAAAACTATACACATGGAGGAATTTGATTATGGCTGATTGTAAAGTTGGGTGCTATGAATAACTTTGTAAATTACAGGACCTCAATAAAAAATATTAAAAAAGAAAGAAAGAAAGCTCCAAACGTAGCCCCAGAAGTGCTGTGGGCAGGGACCCTTCACATGCTCGCCAGAGGTGATGTTACTTCCCTAAAACCACCTATCCAGAGCTTTCACATGGCTTAGGGCTGCCACCCACCCTACAAAGTGATTGGGGATCTACCTTCGCATATATTACACCGCTCTGCCCCCCCTCCCCGCCCCCGCCGCCAGAGGTTTTATGCACACAGGAAAGGGTGTGGGGACACCACTGAGGAGGGACGTGGAAATGGCCGGTGACAGGAAGCAGGCAAGCGGTACCTGGGGGGTCTTACCTCATCGTACATGAACTGCAGTGTCAGGGCCGACTTTCCAACCCCACCACTGCCAACCATGATCACTTTGTGCAGCGCCAAGGAACTCTGGCCCTTGCTCTTGTTGGCAGCCATCCTGCTGGTCTTCTGAGGGGGTGCCACTCGGACAGCAGACCCACTTAACAAGCTGCCAAGAAAAGAAGGACACAACTTAGAGGTGGTTTGGTTTTCCGACTCCACACGGGGACCCAATAAAACCCATATCCTTTAGACAGGGCAGACAGATCTTCTCAGCCCTGGAAGAGACGGCCAGCAGCTCTGAATGCCATTCAGCCCAGCAGAGCAGAGCCAAAGCCAAGAAAGAAACGAGCCCGGACAGCCAGTGCTCGCTTGCTGGCAAGGGATGGGAGGACCCCCCCAGCATTGAAACTCATCGCATGCCCCATGGTAACCTCCCTGAGCCAGGGGGAACAGGGAGCCCCCAGTCCTGCCCATCACCTGTGCCACAGAACAGCCCAGGGTCTCCCCCGCATCTGGTCACTTTTCTTCCTCCCCACCCTGATGCCTCTGTCCCCAACATGCAGACACACTCATACACGCTCACTAGTTGATGGCAGAGGTGATCCAAATGGGATAATGCAGTGCACCTCTTTGATAATAAGAGCCCTTCCAGACACAGTCCAGAGGAAAATAATTAAATTACGTACTCCAGGTTTAAAGCAATGAACTGAAATGAAGGGTACTTTCCTAAAATAATAACCTATTAATCAAAGTCTCCTTAGCAGAAGGAAGAAGAAGTGAGCTAGTGCCAGCCTGGCAGCTGGGGGTTACAAAGGATTCCAAACAAGCACATTGAACAGACATGTGGAGCTTCCTCTAACGCACATGCCGGTGTTTATTTTAACCAGTTTGTCTGAAACAGTTTGCCGACCTCTCATATCCTGCAGAGCACAGAGAAAGGAAGAGGGGTTTGGGTATCTTCTGGGCCTGAGTCTGAGTCTGTCGTTTGTAAGCTATGTGAACCTAGAACTAGTGATTCGATTCCTCTAAGCCAGTTTTCTCATCTGCAGAAACACAGAAGCCGCCACCTACCTTGCAGAGTCCTTCTGAGGACCAAACACGGGAACAAGTATGAGAGACCTAAGCAAGTGTGCACAGCAGAAACTGGAAGGCCAATGTCCTGGGCAGGGAGGCGGCTCCAAGGGCCGAGGAAACGCTCTGCATGGGGAGCTCTGGCAATCCCCAGTACTGCATGGTCTCCACCACCTGGAGTGACCCCCCTGCTCAAGACCCAGCTAGAAGTAACTCCCAAAACTTCCAGGGATGGCCCCCAAACAAATAAAAAATTTTAAAAAGCTTGAGTTCCTTCCTATTTCTAGATATCTTCTTTGTTGTTTTTGTTTTGTTCTATGGGCCACACCTGACCAGTACTCAGGGGTTACTCCTGGTTCTGCACTCAGGAATTACCCCTGATGGTGCTTGGAGGGGCACCATATGGGATGCCAGGGATTGAATCCAGGTCAGTACACGCCAGGCAAATACCCTACCCACTGTATCATCTCTCCAGGCCCCTTTCAAGATGTCTTCTATCTATAACACTATGGGTTGTGATTTCCACCAATGCTGAGAAGTCCATATCCCCACAGGAAAAACAAAAGTATCTTCTACACCTGTCACTGGAGAAATGAAGCACCATTTTAAACTGAGGGAGGCAAGCAGACTGACAGGCAGGCAGGCAGGAAAGGAACTCCCAGGCAGCAGGCTCCAAGTAGGAAACCAAGATAAGATGGGGAAAGAGGTTTTGTCAGCCCAAGTGGAGGAGGCTGGACCCCACATAGAGATGATTCCGCAGAAACTGAGGCCTGATCTGACTCTGGGCTAGCACCACCCTGGGGAAGGTTGAACCCCTCAGGAGGGGAGAAACCTCCAGCAAGCACCGAAGGCCCAGACACGATTATGAATAAAGAAGCCCACCCAAATGTCCAAGTCCTTCCCCTCTGACAACATCCCAGCAGTAACTCTTCTCTGCAGATATTTGGCCAAAGGAACTTAAGAAACCCACAGAAAATCCATTCCTGGAGGCCTCCTGGAGCCTCTCCTCTCTCTGGAAAAGCCCAAGGTCTGAGGCTGGCGCAATAGCATAGCGGGTAGGGCATTTGCCTTGCACGCAGCTGACCAGAGTTCAATTCCCAGCATCCCATATGGTCCCCTGAGCACCACTAGGAGTAATTCCTGAATGCAGAGCCAGGAGTAATCCCTGTGCATCGCTGGGTGTGACCTAGAAAAGCAAAAAAAAAAAAAAAAAAAAGTTCACCATGTTCTCTCTTGAATGTGCTTTTCCTCCCTCCCTCTTAAATAAAATGTCTTTGCTTCACTACGTGTTTCTACTGAAGTTCCTCGCTGTGAGAATAAACAGTGAACCTGGGAAGCCGGGGCAGGGGTTGGAAAAGTTTCCCTTCTCCTGCAGAGAGTAAAATTTTGCTCCAACCTGAGACTCATGGGTCCCTGAAAGCTCAGTTGGCTGGGTCCTCTACTCTGCCCAGCAGACCCAAAGGGTCTCAACACAGCCTCACAGCTGCCTCAGGCCAAGCGGGAGCTCATGCTGACTTTTAGGACCCTTGACCAGGGAGATGGAGGTAAGACTGGAAGGGAGGTGGCGGCACTGTCTCTTCACGCGCCCCAGCAGCCATCCAATCATGGATTCCCAACGGGGGCTGCAAAACGGAATGGCCTGGGAAACTCTGAAGAGCTCCCGAGGGTCAGGGCCCCCCCCTGAAATGTCTGGAGGAACTGGCCTGGGCTGCAGTCTGGGCACAGGACCGGCCAGATACCTCCCCGGCGATTCCAGAGGCCCTCCAGTGCTGAGAGCGTGTCTCACCGCGCAGCTGTGCAGAGGGGAGAACAGGGCAGTCTGAGCAGCCGTTCTGGGTAACTTGGGACTTAACTGACACGCGGGGCTAAAGAGAGCAAGACGCCCACGCCAGGATGGGGCTAGAGCTGAGTCTTTCTCTCGATGGAGAAGTGAGAAGCCAGACCCTTGACAGCACACACCACGGGCCTTCTAATTTATTTGGTTTGCTCCCAGAATGCTCAGGGAGGCCTTCTTTGCTAAGGAGTGCTAAGACAAACATCAAACCCCTCGGGGGACCGTGATGAGAAAAGCATGGCTGCTGGAGACTCACAGATAGGACTGGGTACCCTGAAATATTACCACGTGTCCTCCAGAGCCAAGATGGTCACAGAGAGGAGAGTCCCAAGCTGGTGGAAACCCCTCTACATCCGACCAACAAGCTCTCTGGGATGAAAGGCACAGTGAAGCCAGCTCTCTCAGATCAAACCCACCCAAAGGAGCATGTGGCACTGACCTCTGGGACAGCCAAGCCCCCCCCCCCACCCCAGTCAGCACCAGCAACAGGATGTTCAGACAGCTATCATCAGAAAGTAAGAAAGTATCATCCGAACGTTTTTAACAGAGACAAATGTGAGAAAAGTAACGACCAACAGGCCAGTCACTCTGAGTGTCCAAAATATTTTTATTTGAAACAAGAGGTAGTAAAAACTTATAGGAGGAAATACTATTCTCCCTGTAAATCAGGCTGATGAAGGACAGATTAACAAGGAGAAACAAGCAGCAGCTTGCTGATGCTAATGTTCACAGCCTAATTCACAGGAGAGTTCGGGGATGAGTAACTCAGACGGGGATGATTAGAGCTGAGTTTATGGAGCATTAAGAAAAGCTTTGTTTTGTCTATCAAGTTACACACACACACACACACACACACACATATTAGATACCATGGTTTAAAATACTGTTAATGGCTTCATGCATAAACCATCCAGTACCACTCCCCTCCCCAAAGTGGCCACTTCCCTCCGCCCTGTCCCAGCGTCCCTCCCCTTGCCACCCCCGCCCCCATCCTAACTCCCCTCCTTCACCCCTCTGCGGTCAGCTTCCTCCTGAAGACCAGTTCTCTGTTTCAGTTGTCTTTGGGCATTTGTTATACAAATACCATGTTCCCTTATATCCTGCATCTGAGAGGAACTGTTCAACTGTAAGTTTCATAGAAAGAACAGACAGACAAGACAAAGGAAGAATTCTCCTAAGGCTAGCACACTGTGGGAAGGCAAAGATAGGGAAGAAACGAATGGAGGATAAAGACAACCAAGTTTTGTCACATAAGTGCCCTGGTGGCCTCCCCCCAGCTAGTAGGAGAATTTCTCCAAGAGAGGAATGCACCAGCCCTCCCAGGTAAAGGAGGGGAGGGCAGAGTTTCTTTGATGTGTTTCTTTAAAATGAAACAACACCTTTAAAAAAAAGGCAATTTAGAAAATATGAGAAAACTATCTTTGAAAATCACCTATGATTCTTCGACCCAAAGATATACTGCAGCTCAAAATAATCCATATGTGAAAATGGCATATTTTAAGGTGGAATACTCAGAACCCTTTCAATGTTCAATAGAAAAATAATAAAAGGGACAGAAAATGTTCAGTGGTAGAATCCCTGCCTTAGAGATATGCGGCCACAAGTATGCTTCCCTGGCATACTACAACCAGATGTGTGCAAGCACCACAGGTAAAATGTGTGGGACCCCAGGCACCACGGCAAAGGGGATGTGAGGGGAAATAAATGATACAATTTTGTTTTTAATTTTAAAGAGGACCAAGGACGTGACTTAGCCTGGCCTGTGTGAGTCCATATTTTGATTCCATACTGCCAGAAACAAAAGTAAAAAAAAAGTCCTAAATTTATAAAACCTAGCTTTGAAAAAATTATCTAAGATGCTTCACCATACTATTAATGTTTTCTGCCAGTATTTTTATCTATATAGAACTATATTAAAAACCTATTTGAGGGGCTGAAGCGATAGCACAGTGGGTAGGGCATTTGCCTTGCATGTAGCCAACCCGGGTTCGATTCCCAGCATCCATATGGTCCCCCGAGCACTGCCAGAAGTGATTCCTGAGTGCATGAGCCAGGAGAAGCCCTGTGCATCGCTGGGTGTGACCCAAAAAGCAAAACAAAAAAAAAAAAAAAACACCTACTTGAGCTATTTGTGGTTTTGCGGGTCATCTTTCGCGCCTTCCACCATCTCAGGAAAGAGAGAACCTAAGGAAAGCATCTCCCAATGACTTAAGGGTCCGCATCATGCACAGGACATGTTTTGTGAGGCCTGGGGGTACTCT